GGGAACTTGAGAAAAACTTTTTACCTTCCAAAAGCAGGTGTAAATGTACAGTGACTGCTTTGGCAACTCACATAGAATAACAGAGATGAATTGAAGTGTGACTTGGTTCCTTCATACAGTGATTTTAGACCTCCTTCTGAAACCTGTGCTGAAACTTGAGAGCTCTTGTTACTGAAAGGTTTGATTATGAATGGTGAAGTGTAGTGATATTGGGTCTTGTGGTATGGAGTATATCAGGAAGAAGCAATGTCAAGTAATCTCATGATTGTGGTAGAATTTTTGGAAGACTTTAAACGGTATTTTAATGCCATTAGTAAGAAGTTAAATGGAGTATTTTTGATAGGTCTTTTTTCTCTATCTAGAAAGTGTCAGGAGATCATTCTCTTCCTGTGTGGGTAACTATCTCAACCACCTGTTTTTAGAATCAGCAGGCTTGTTTATTGGGGTTTTTTTCCAAATAAAAAAATAATTTATATCTAGATCCTCTCAACTGAGAAATCCTCATTTTTATAAACATTTAGAACTTGCCCTGATTTAATTTAGTAGGCTGCTGACAAACTCATATCAGCAGTTAAGTTTTCTCAATATCTTTCTCTGGTAGGCTTGATTCAAGAAATAATGAAATACTTTTATCTTCCTCTAATAAGTACAAATGATGTAAAAGTTAAAGGCTTTAGAGATCCATAGTGGATAGTACATGGTTTAAGAAAATCAAAATTCCGTACAACTCAAGACTACAGCAGGTTTACTTTGAGATTTAGGGCATGTTCTGTCAGTTGCTTTGTGAAAATTTTCTGATTTTTCTTTAGAAAAAAAGGTGTTTTAAAGTGGTCTAAAATACATTGGTTTTATTCTCAAGATTCTTTGTGCTTGTTTTTTAGTTTTTTATGTTTAACAGCTTTAAAATGAGAATAAATAAATTTCTATCCTGTACATCACTAGCGTCCTGTCTTGTTGGGATGCTCTCTCAGAAGTTCAAAACAAAAATTAGGTCCAGGAAATACATTATTGAGCTACCCAGTGTTTTCTGATAACTATGTAAATCTCTGACAGAAAATATTTGTCATTTATGTGTGCTGCCTTCAGTTACTCTTTTACCTCAAAAATAGGTTTGCTTATTGAATATTGTGGTGTAGTTCTTTAAATAAGGCAATTTGTAGGATATTTTCAGAGTTTCAGAATGTTCTGTTCTGAATTTAGTAAGTGGAATCCAAGGGAAGGGATTTTAAAATAGCAGCTCCATGAGAATAATTTAAAGAAGAAAAATCAACATTTGCATTAAAAAATGCTATAGCTAGGTAATCCCATCTAAAGAGCAGTCAATTAATTCCTGTTTAACTGAAAACATATGGACAATATAATTTTTTGCCTGAGCAACTTTATTTGGCATTTTCTCTTTCATATTTTTATTGTCATCTTTACAGTTACTGTGAAGAATTTCTACTCAGATGTATCACTGTATTATGTTGTAGCTCAGTAGTGTGTATCCTGTACTCTAAGATACACCTGGTCCTCACATGGGGGAAGGAAAGTTCAGAACTGATAAAGTATGTGTCAGCAGTGGTACTTGGTATTCTGAAGAAGTATCAGAAGACCCTTCTGTGATTGGTCGTTTCAGGACTTAGAGAGTGGAAGTTGGCTTGTATCTGTCAGCACAGTATGATGGGTTTTTAGAAATGCTGAAAAGGCTTCCCTATAAATGTGGATTATTCAGATCCAGCAAGAGTTATGTGCTGGACATTGATCACTAGTCATAGGGTGAGAAAAGGAGTCATCCTTCTTAGGGTTCGAGTGCCTCAATTCACACCTTACTTCAAAAGCCTTGGTCTGGTAGCCCAGGGAAAAGTTGCATTGAAACTTTAATACCAATTCAAGAAAATCAAAAATAAAGAGAAAATGAAGAGACAATTATCCTTTTCAGCTGAGTTCTGACTACAGACTGGTTAGGTTACGGGACTTTTTTGCTCAGAGAGGACTTTGTGATATAGATGGAGTCATCGCTCTAACAGACTGTAACAATAAAAGATAGTTCTTAATAATGTACTTGAAAATGTGACTGGTAGTGAAAACAGAATAAAAGGCCGCAGTAGATGTGACCATAATATCTGCTACATCTTTAACATTTGTCATGACCATTCATGGACTCATCATTTGTAGTGCTCCTGTGTGAATTTGCATCTTGGGTATGTTTAGCGGCAAGCAGATTGTACTCTGGGAAAGATTACAAGCTGAGCAAGTTCTTCCTATTCAGGTACCTTTGGCTCACCAAAAAGTGCAACTGTTTTTCAACACAAGCAATCAGATTATCATATAAGATAAGCATTAGATATAAGAAAAATAAATTATTGGCCTTTTCTTTACTCTGGCTATTTATAACACATGGTCAGCATTTCAACAGCTTAACAGCCTGACAAGGAGTTGCCCCTGAACCTCGCACTTTCTTTTAAAGCTCTTGTGTCCTTTTCTGCCAACATTAGGCTAAAGTACTAGACATTACTATTTGCATTTATATTATGATGTTCTCCTTCCCCTGCTTCCTGAAGGATTCTCAAGAGTGCTTTTCTTTCCCATTAGAGTTGGAAAATAAATTTATTTCCAGTACATTGTTACTCTGAAAAGAGTTTGTTCTGCCATAGACATGTGGTGACTCTGCACTCAAGATTAGGCCTGTAATTACTTTTCCTCTGCTGCGAATACCAGACTTTTTTTTCGGTTTGCTACCTATCTGTCCTACAGATAGTGGGACTCAGACATTATCTTTTGTAGGTTTGTCCTTGTTGCTTTCAGAGAACTCAAAACACTCAGCATCTGTCAGTATTTGCGGCCTGCTTAAGGAAACCAGGGGTTCATGTGTATTCATATCTAGGTATATCAAATGCAACTTCCAGGTATAAACCAAGGTAGATAACTGGGAAAATTTGGTCAGTATTTCTGGTGAAAATAATCAGGCAAAAGATAGATTTATTCTGTTTCTTGTAGCCAACAGTGGCCTGTTAGAGGACAAGTCAGGTCACTTTGGGAGGTTCTCTGTATATCATGTTCTTTAGTCCTAAACCACCTGCATGTGAGTGGTGGTGGTAGGTAGTTGTGTTACCTTTCATCTATGGCTGTTAGCACCATGTTACGCAAGATAGCCTGTCCAGGCATCTGTTGCTCCTCAGCAACCATGTGAACGAAGTAGTCATTGTCCTGTGCTGGGTTGTATCTGAACTCACTCAGTAGCTGGGCAGTTTAGACTTCAGAGAGAGTGTTCTTCCCAGTCCCCAGTGATGGTGTCTATTATGGATGCTTGAGAAGTAAGTCAGACTAACCATTACAATCTCTCTGAATCACGTTACCTCCAAGGGATTTCTGAGTTTTAAATGAATGCTTCAATACTGAGGACTTCCAAGTCTTAAAATATTGTAGTCTGTCCTAAGGAATTCTGGTTGCCCATTACACTCTCTCAATAAGGAGGTATTATTTCCTTTAATTTCCCATTTGAATGAAGGCACTGAATTTTTAAAAATAGCAGCATCTAATTATATTTTGTCCCATTCCTGTTATTGGCAGGACTGGCATTGTGTTTGTTGTCATATTGCACCTGGAAGTCATATCTCTGTGTCAGATTTATTTTATCATGTTTTTTTCTTAGACTGTATAGTACTAATTTTTAAAGCAAACATAGTATTATTCTGTTGCTCAAGAAACTACATTTCTTACCTATATTGGAATACTCTATTTTGGTTTAATATCAAGACAGTAGTCCTGATTTCCTTTGATCAAGAAAGCCAATGAGATAAATGGACTTAGGCAATGAAGCTGAATTCTTCCTTCATCAAGTCAATCTTAGAATTCCATTTGATCACTTCCCTGGGGAGTCTGTTCCGGTGACCATCCACCCTCTCAGTGAAGAACCTTTTCTTAATGTCCAAACTCAACTTCTCCTGGTGCAGCTTCAAGCCATTCCCTCGTGTCCTATCGCTGGTCACCAGAGAGAGCACCTGCCCCTCCTCTGCCCCCCTTGAGGAAGGTGCAGACTGTGTGGATGTCACCCCTCAGCCATCACTTCTTCAAGCTGAACAAGCCAAGAGACTTCAGCCGCTCCTTGTAAGTCTTGCCCTCGAGGCCTTTCACCATCCTGGTCACCCTCCTCTGGACACACTCTAATAGTTTGATGTTCTTCTTATGTTAAGGCACCCAAACCAGCACACAGTGCTCGAGGTGGGGCCACATCAGTGCAGTGTAGAGTCACTTCCCTCGTGTCAGCACGCTACGCTGTGCTGGATCCACCCCTGGATACAGCTGACCATTTTGCCTGCCAGGGCACACTGCTGGCTCATATACAGCTTGCCATCAACCCAAACACCAGATCTCTTTCTTTGGGGCTGCTCTCCAGCTTCTTGTCCCCCCATTTGTACACGTAACCAGAATTATCCTCCCAGGTGGAGAATCCTGCAAAACAGCAATCCCAAGAAAGCTCTGGTATGTTAGCTTGTTAAGGTCTAGTCCTACAACGTTTCTTTTTCTTTGGGAAAGTTCCTTTATGGCTCAATGTTTATTCAGGACAGATTGTAAGAGAAGTGACAATTCTGCCATTGCCATAAAGCAACTCTTAAAATTAGCTAATTGTAGTTTTCTGAATGCAGATATGTTTTCAAAGGTTATTAGAGAGACGTTAATTGGCAATTGATTGAACAATATTTCTTCATAAGATTTTGTTTAATTTATTTCAGCTTTTGAGAAAAAGAACTCTTGTTAAACTAGTTAATATTTCTCAGTCAGTAATTTGCAGTGTTGTGGTGTTCTAATAACAAATTACATTAAATTACATTACAGGGTTATCCAAGCTAGCAGATAGGCACTCTGGTAGTGCTTCAGGAAAATGGCTAGATTTAATACTTGGTTTATGGCTTCCTTTAACATTAGGTGGATTTTTGTTCTACAAAATGCATGATGGTCATTGGTGCATTTCATTTATCAAAATGACTTTTAAAAGGTGCAAACATTTTATTTTACAGGTCAACAGCAAGGACAGGATGGAGTGAAAGTACAGCAAGCCACAATAGCTCCTGTTACCGTAGCAGTAGGTGGCATTGCTAATGCAGCAATTGGTGCTGTTAGTCCTGATCAGATAACACAAGTGCAGCTGCAGCAAGCTCAACAAGCTTCTGACCAGGAAGTGCAGCCTGGCAAGAGACTGAGAAGAGTTGCCTGTTCATGTCCTAATTGCAGAGAGGGAGAAGGAAGGTAAATGTAAATTTTATCAGTATATATTTTAGCATCTTATCACAGCTTGCCTCATTTGGGCATGGGATTGTCTTATATCACCCAGATTTTTAATGCTTTCTATTCGAAAGTACATTTGGGGGGGGTTTTTTAGACAGGGGATTATAGTTGTCTCTATTAGCATGAAATGTTTTTCCCAATAGCTCATAATACTCTAGAATATAACTACTTACCTGGGTAAATGTGATCTTTTAGAGGCAGCAACGAGCCAGGAAAAAAGAAACAACATATCTGCCATATTGAAGGATGTGGAAAAGTTTATGGCAAGACATCTCATCTTCGAGCACATCTGCGCTGGCATACCGGTGAAAGACCATTTATATGCAACTGGATTTTTTGTGGCAAGCGATTTACAAGGAGTGATGAGTTACAAAGACATAGAAGAACCCACACAGGTTGGTCAGCCCTCTCTTGTATGCTTAGTACTGCAAGTCTGAATCACAGTGGCCATGGTTAAACAGTGGTATCAAAGTTTTCACTTGTTAGGTTATCTGAAAACTACTTTTAAATGTAAGTAAAGTAACTTTAAAATGAGGAAGTGGTAGATTTCAGTTTTCATCAATTCAAGCTGACTATGAAATCATACAAAATAAATGGGATCTGTTTCAACTGTTCTCTATTTGGGCTAGAGAAAGATGACCACTTCATCACCGATAGCTGTCGTACGTTAACTAGTGCCTGATCTAAAATTAACAAATTTAAGTTGGATGTGTAGTACTGGCTATGGACTAGGGTCATTATTTCCTCACTTGGGCTAGCTCAATCTTTAAGAAATTTGTTAACCTAGTGCATACATTAGATTTGGTCTTCTCAGGAGGTTTCTTGAAGTTTCAAGGGGGAGCTGATAAAGCAAGTTCTCTTAACAGTTCAGATTGGAAAAGTGGACCTTTTAGAAGCTGAGAATTTTATCAGCTTTCTTATTTCTAGCTCCAGGAGGGCATCCTCCTCCATGTTTCTCCTTCGCCAGCTTACAGCACCCAATGTCTAAGCGCTAATTTCACCTGAGCACTGATAGGACCTTACAGTATGTTGAATTTGTCTCTCTTGATGTAGATTTCATACATCCTCCTGGAGCATTGGGATTCATGTTTCCAAATTCCCTTTCCATCCCTGTAATTTAAATAGCAAAAGTATTCCTAAAAAAATGTTACCAAGTCATTCTTTAAAGGGCTTTTACCTGCCTCACTCTGTTAGGTTTATGGAAGTTTATGAAAATTCTCTGGTGACCTGAGATTCAAACTTCTCAGCAAATAATCACAGCATAGCAAATAATTGTTGAGAACATTTTAATAGTGAAGAGTAGATTGCCAGAAGCCTGTGACTAAACAGAACACACCTGGAAATGAGTCAGGTAGAAACAAAAATGTTGTATCCTTTTAAAGACACTTCAAATGTTGAATAGAATAGGGTCAGATTCAAATGATCAAGCAGCGTTCAGTGCTCTCATTCAGTAACATTTCGGTTTTGTTCTTCTTTTAAAAAAGGTGAAAAGAGATTTGAGTGCCCAGAATGTTCTAAAAGGTTTATGCGAAGTGACCATCTCTCGAAACATGTCAAAACTCATCAGAACAAGAAGGGTGGTGGAACAGCCCTTGCTATTGTTACCTCAGGAGAACTGGACTCTTCAGTTACTGAGGTTCTTGGATCTCCAAGAATTGTCACTGTTGCTGCCATTTCTCAAGATTCAAACCCAGCAACCCCTAACGTTTCAACAAACATGGAAGAATTCTGAAAGGATCATTTATATGGACACCTAGTGCTGCACTTAAGTTTACATACCTTTCAGGATATGGAAGTGGGCTGGTAAAGTGGATTACAGAGCAGGAAATCATTTTTTCAGTCATGACTTCTGTAAGTGTTCCAGATTGAAGGGTCAGCATGGGAAGTGTACACCGGTGCAACAAGACAAAAATTTCAAAGATACAAACACCGCAATTGATGACTGGATAACCAGATCGAGGAATAATATTTCCATACTGTACTTTTTTAGTTATATGTCTGTATATCCTGTAACAATTTTAAGTGAACTTTACCCCCCTATTTTAGCATTGTATGTTAATGTGTTTATAAAATCAGATAGTATCAATGTAAAAGAGGGTGGACCTTGACTAGGATTAATACCATTTGATGAAGGTACTTTATTTTTAACATAAATTTGTAATATTTTCATGAAAGCATCCTTTTCCCATAAGGCACAGCAAAACTGAGTATAGGATGAACAATAGTGGATATATTTTAGGCTTTTGTTAGGCTTTTGCTCAGTCCATATAACACATCAGTTAATTTTGGCCATCTTTTCTCAAGTTTTGGAACTACTCTAGATGCAGTTGGATGATGCATACTGTGAAGTGGTTCTGAGGTGGACCTCAGACTAATTTTAACCACTACATTATAGTAGTGTGCATAAATGACAATCAGTGTTTTCATTACTCTCTTTGTGTAGAGAGCTAAGGTTATGTAGAATTAGTGTATACGGTAGGAAAGATAAAACCATAGAAAGATATTAACATAAGGTTTTACAAAAGTAATGTTAACTTTATGTAGGATGAAAAAAATTGTGTCAGTTTTTGGTAGTTCATTTCTTTATGTATGTCCCTGCCCATGACTAGGAGGTTGGAACTTGATGATCTTTAAAGTCCCTTCCAACCCAAATCACTCTATGGTTCTATGATTCTGTATTTTAAATTATCTGTGCCCCATCTCTAACTCGTAGGTAACCTGAATCTTAAAAACACAATTTTAACTATTTAAATGTTTTAATTTTGTTAGAATTCATGGAAATTAATCAGACAATTGAGTGTTATAGCTCATTCTCCAGCAACTCATCTCTGTAAATACTAGTTTAATATGTTGTGGTTAATATGCTGAGTTCTTTGTGCTTTGACTTAATAGCCAAAGAAAAAAAATTGTCACATTTTAACAACAACAACAACAAAAAAGTAAGTAAACATTTTCTCTCTTTTCCCCTAAATATTACTGTTTTCTCTTCAAGGATAATATGTGGGCTGATAATAAATATCTGTTACCTATCAACTCTTATATTGAGCCTCCAACTACAAAACAAACTGGGAAAAGAGAAATATTTTGCAACATGAATTTTGGTTTCAAAGGCTTGGTTGCATTTTCAAATATGACAGTGAATATAGAGGGATTGGAAAAAAAACAGTAACAACAAAACCTGCATTTTCTATGTGAAAATTGCAGTATGTACAAGGAGTAAAGATGGCCAAATATTTCATACTCAAGATTTTTAATTAATTCTCATGGCATAAATGTAACCTTTTACATCTAAAGTCATTTGTTAATAAATTCTCATGACCAGTTTTAAAAGAAATTTATATACCAAAATATTTTTTACATAACTAAAGGAAGTACAGCGCAAGAGGGATAAGATGGGGTTTTTTTCCCGTGCAAATTATGGAAGGAAGAATGTGTGTGGTAGCTGTTGGTTTGCAAGACATAGCGGATACCCTGTGCATTCCCTCAAAAACGTATACTTCTCATCTGAACACTTTATCAGTCTTGTGGTGTTTTCTGTATTTTTGAAGCAAAAGAAAAACCAATCATTGTTTACACTGTGTACACTTTAGGCCAGCCCTTTGTAGCAAAATACTAAGCTGAGGGTATTTTATACTTTCAGTTTACATAAAAAGCTTTGAGATAAAAGAAAAGCAATTTTACACTGTGGTTATAAATTTCAAGTTTCTTAAAGCTTTTTTAGACTTGTAACAGAGTCTTTAAATTTTAGTTGGGTTTTTGTACATTATTTTGTATATTTTATTTAAAGTACTCTTAACTGATGTATCTGGATTTAAAACATCAGAATCAATTAGGTGTTACATTTAATACAGATGAACATTAGGTAGTATTAACTGTTAATTTTATTATATAGGAAATAAAACGTCAAATATATATTTTATCATTATGCTTCACAATCAGTGCTCTACATTTCTTTATGCAAAGAACTTTCCTAATATAAATACCATGTTTCCTAAAAGTTAACAGTTTTTGTAAACTAAAGTTACAAGCATTCTGCACAACCATTTCATATGTAATTTTTTCCATGCATACTTATGTATGCATACAGGAAACTGAAGTAATTTTTAATCTGCAATGAATCCCTATTATAGATGTATCCAAATCTAAATCTGGTTGGTTTCATAGCATCCCAAGTACATTAACTTGTGTTAGCAGGTGCACATTTTACCGCTGGAATTAGAAACATTTTGACAGTCTGTTCTGCATACCATTCTGAATCCACTTTTCTGTCTTAAAAGGATCGTAAATTTCAATGTCCTTTATTTGACTCAGTGGGATATAGCTGTTGTAAGTAATAGGGCACAGATGTGCAGTAGTATCTTGTTTAATGGCATTTCACTGTTCATTCCCTTTGCCACCATTAAAAATTTTGCTTTATTGTAATTATCAGTGCAAAGTGTATTTACCATGGTAGAACTCCAGTGTTAGAATAGTTTTTTTCTTACAATATACTTTCTTTGGTTAGGTTTGTGTATGTGTTGCCGATTACATTAGCAATTGGTGTTAAGTCATTATTTATCACCTTCTTTCATGAGAGCAGTAATAAAAGTGTGTAATCTAGGAGAAAAAGTTAATTTGTCAAAGTTAAGTAAGCATGATGTTTAGGTCCTATTTTTCAATTTTATAACTGTTTTATTGTAACAATATTTGTATTTAAGTCTTCATTTTAATGCCTTGTGGTGTTTTTTTATGCATGTCACTGAATTGTCATCCCGCAAGAATTGATGTGCAGCATAGGGTATTAAATCTACATAATGATTTTGAAACAGAAAAATAGTTGATGGTAAAAATGTAAATGTTTTGCAAAAATTCCTTATAAAAAAAAGTTTTGTAGTAATATTTCACTTGTAAATTTTTCTAAAAAAAATGGAAAAGGAAAAAAATGAGAGTAATGTTTCCCCACATCTAGAATTTAGAAATTAATTCTGCCAGCAAAGCCTGTAAGGCATTAATCTGACACTTTTACAATGATGATTTGTATAATTTTTTGGTGGGTTTGGAACTAAAATCAAGTTGTACAAGTTGTTGCCTGCAATAACGTTTTGCAAGTAACCTATTAAAATTCCCTTGAGTTTAAAAGGTTTCTTCATTTAATTGCTTACAATATAAAGCAGCAATAAATTATGTTTGTGTGATAATCTCTTCATCAAGAAGAACACTAGAAAACAAATGCTTCTCAATGGGGAAAGGTTGGCAGCAGCTTCTGGATTTGTGTAATTAAGACCTGTACTTGCTGGTCAGCATTTCCCAACTGGCAAACTCCCAGCAGGGAATTAAACCAGCAGATTCTAGCTCAGCATGAATTCTGTGGGGTTTGTTCAGCTCTTGCGAATGGAAGCTACGGTTATTCCTGAACATACCAAAGGAATAACCAAAGGAAAAATTTTTCTGAGGTAAGGAATATACACACACACACAGTTAAAAGATAAAAATTTAAAAACCAAGATAATTCAGTTTGAGAGAGAAATAACAGAAGTGTCATTGTATTGCACACAGTGAATACAACAAACATATGGAAACCTGAAAGTATTGACTTCAACTCATAGAAAATATGTTGAGCTATATATTGAGCTTTTCTTAATGAAGTGTCAGCAGGCTTCTGCATTTTGCTATACTAAAATAATTATTATGGTATGCTAAATTGCTAATTATAGTGGTACAGTAATTATTTTCTTAAATATTAAAAGAATTTTTTTATAAACTTTACCATACTTTTTGCAGTGAACAAGTAGTAGTATTGAACAAGGGAAGAAATAAATACAGAATCAGTGAATTATTTAGTTGGAAAGGACCTTAAAAATTGTCAAGCCCAACTGTAAAGCTAACACTGCAGATCCTACCACTATGTTCCTAAGCACCACATCTTCACAGAAGAAGGCCACTTTCTTGTTCCATCTTCCAAAAGAAGATGGAATTTAAAATTTGGGACTTCTAACCTTTTATTGCAAGACAGAATCATCTTTCCTTATTGAGATATAAAATATATTGTATATCTGATGAAATACCTGTTAAAGTCTTAGTAACCTCTATTTGAATGTCAGACAAACTTATTAACTAAAGTCAAACTATGTCATAATTCAAAGTAAATGCATCTGACCAACTAATCTGTCTTTATTGGCCAACTTTTTAGTATAGTGGCACTGGCTTGTTTTGAAGCAAATTCTACATTGTTAGTAAGAGACTAGTCCTCCACTTATACCATTTCAGTTATACAGTATCAGAAAATACAACAAATTCTTAGATAACGACATTAGGGATGAATGACCTTCAAGTGTGATCCTTCTACTCTGTGAAGCATGAAGTGTAATACCAAATTGAGTAGTTTTCACTACTGTTGCTAGAATTATCTGAAATTACATTTTGCATTTATTCCATTGTCTTAATTTTATGTCCAGCGAGATAAAAAATACCAGGATGAGGTTTTATCTGTGTGTAATATTAACATTTAATTCATGTTGAACTTCCTGTTATCACCTTCATTTCTTCATGCCTTCCATACTCGAGCTTCCCATTCTTTTCCCTTTCCCCAGAGCTACTTGCATCATTTCCTGATATCCTGAGATCTGTCAAAGTATATGGAAATGCTGTGGGGACCTAGAGCTAGTATGTGCTACCTTTGCTTGCTAGAATAATTTCCATGGAGAGAGGAACAGCAAGACACCTTTTCTAGCGGAACAGCTTTGTTTTAAAAATGGCCAGATGTTATCACAGGCAGCTGGATCAGTGCTGTCTGTGATCAACTGATGTGGATATCATGATAGGCACTTTTCTTCAACTGAGATAGCAAATGACTGTGAGTGGGGATCTGGTTTTATGTGCCCACACAAGCTGTTTACCATTAACAGAAATATTGAAAGGTTTTGGCATGGAATTCTCTGCCACTTCTCCAGAAGTACTTGGGTTAGGCTTATAGCTTGCAAAAGATTTTTAACAGGCACCAATATTTGTGAATTGTTCAAGTAAAGTGTTTCTTCAACTCATTCCACTGTTATTACTGAGATAGTTTTCTGTCCAGTTTATTTTAGGTTTTTTGGGTGATTTTCATAGCAAGTATCAAAAATTACCCCCTTCTAAATTACCAGATCAAAGAACACGGGCATTTCTTTGACTTACATGAGCAGCAATTGCAATACAAGATCCATAACATACAAATTCAAAGCTTTGCCTATCATTTCTACTTTCATGTATGGAAAATGCCTAGCCTTGAAGCATTTAATAAATTCTTATATTTTAGCACAACTTTTTAAAAAATAAAAAATATTTCAACCTTTATAGTTTCTCCCAGGAAGGAGAAACTGTTCTAAACTGAAGTGTATTTGAGACCATGAATATTCAGAATCTTCTTTACCAGATATACATTTTACAGCATTTCTAGAATTTTTCACTTTCTCTCTTGCATCTGTCCCCTGTGCTGTATCCTAGCCTACATTGCCATTAAGACCTCTCTCACTGCATTTTCAAATGTTGTAGCTTTTTATTTGAACAGTATCTTGCTTCTTGCTAAAACCATTGCAGAAACACTTAGATCAGACAAAAGAAGTACCCTATCAAATATATATACTGGAAAGCTCTTTTGGAAAGTAATTGAGTTGAATGAGTTCTGTGTTCCATCCCCACATATTACAGAAGCATAGTCCAAGGTAGAATGGAAAATAAGAGTATAAGTTTGCAGGGCACGGAGTGTTTCTCAAAAGAGGTTTGTACTGCTGGTCTGAAATTCTGTTAATTGATATTTTTTTAAGCTGTTTTAAGTTCAATACATAGCTTTGTTTCACTTGTGTGTATTTTAAAGGAAAGTCTTAGGACAAATTCCAGGAAGAACCCCATGTCAAAGCCTTCTGGTGCTGATGTTTTGAGAGATTTTTAAAACAACTAAGAGCAA